GCCTTTGTCCGCGATACGTCCGCGGACAAGCTCTCCGCCCGCGCCATTCCCTGCGTCTTCCTTGGCTTTCCCCCTGACGCGACTGGCTGGCAGCTCTACCACCCCACCTCGCGCCGTATCCTGCCCTCTCAGGACGTCACGTTTGACGAGTCGGTTCCCTTTTACCGTCTCTTCCCCTACCGCACTGCCCCTCTCCCCCCCCCCCCCGCCGCTCTTCCTAGCACCAGGTCCTCCTCCGGTAGACCCCCTCCCCCCTCAGGGTCCTGCCCCCTCAGGTGTGTCCCAGGTAGACCCTGTCGAGCCTGTCAAGGTAGCTGTCGACTCTGGAGCTGCTAGGGGTGCTGCGTCTAGGGGTGCTGAGCTGGCGGGTGCGGGGCCTGGGGGTGCTGAGCCTGAGCGTGCGAAGCCTGGGGGTGCTAAGCCAGGGGTTGCTGAGTCTGAGGGTGCGGAGCCTGGGGGTGCTGAGCCTGAGCGTGCGGAGCCTGGGGGTGCTGAGCCTGAGCGTGCGGAGTCTGGGGGTGCTGAGCCTGGGGGTGCTGAGCCTGGGGGTGTTGGGCCTGAGTGTGCTGAGCCTGGAGGTACTTTGTCTTCTGGAGGTCCTACGGGTGTCTTGTCACGGCGGGAGCCACTCTCTCCACCGCAGCTGCGCGAGTGGTTTGCTCGGCGCTGGAGCCGTGCTGCTGGAGCTGGGGATCTACCGTTGGAGGCCCTGGACCTGGAGGTCCTGGAGCTGCTGGAGCTGGAGGTGCTGCTGGAGCTGGAGCTACTGGAGGTGCTGGAGCCGCTGGTCCCGGAGGTGCTCGTACTGGAGGTACTGGAGCTGCTGGAGCTGGAGGTGCTGCTGGAGCTGGAGGTGCTGGAGCCGCTGGTCCTGGAGGTGCTCGTACTGGAGGTACTGGAGCTGCAGGAGCTGGAGGTGCTGCTGGAGCTGGAGCTACTGGAAGTGCTGGAGCCACAGGTCCCGGAGGTGCTCGTACTGGAGGTACTGGAGCTGCTGGAGCTGGAGGTGCTGCTGGAGCTGGAGGTGCTGGAGCCACTGGTCCTGGAGGTGCTCGTACTGGAGGTACTGGAGCTGCTGGAGCTGGAGGTGCTGCTGGAGCTGGAGCTGCTGGAGGTGCTGGAGACCCTGGAGCTGGGGGTACTGGTGCTGTTGGTGCTAGTTCTGGAGGCGCTGCGCGGCCGTGGCCGTACTTCGTTCCACTCCTTCAGTAGGTTCTTGGTCTCCCGACTTCTATTGGTCCTACTCCTCCCTTGCTGTGTCCACCGCCTGACCAGTCGCAGTCGCAGTTACAGCCAGCCTCCCCTCTGCCTGGTCCTTCTTACACTGGGCCGACCGGAGGTCTTGCGAAGCGCCGTGAGCCTGAGTCTCGTCCTGCGTCGCCTGTTCGCACTGTTCGCACTGGTCGTCGTGTTCCGCGTCAGCGTCCTCCTCCTGTCCCTGGCACGCACCAGATGGCACTTCGTCCTTCCTCTGTTCCACTGCGTGTCCCTCTGCCGTCTCCTCCTGCGTCCTCTCTTCCTGACGTCCCTGACCCGCCGTCAGACATTGCTCGTGCTGCCAGTCCTACTGTCACACGTCTTCTAGCTACTGCTGTCACTGACCCTTCGTTTGAGTCCACTGCTGCGTCTGCCCTAGTTGCTGGGCTTGTTGACTTTGCTGCCGCCTGTCGTCTAGACTACGCCGCTAGTCTTGTTGCTGAGTCTGTCTGTCCTCCTCCGTCGGGGGTGAGTGTGCTCTTGGCACGAACGTCCTTGAGGACAGGCAGGAGGAGTTTGAGTGCTTTGCAGCTGCTGTACCTCATCTCGTGTCAATGCTGATTGCACCTGAGGGAGACCCGGATGCACCAGACATCCCGACCCCGCGCTCTTACGCAGAGGCGATAGAGGGTCCCTACTCCTCTCAGTGGCAGACAGCCATGGACGCAGAGATGGCATCCTGGAAGTCCACATGCACCTACCTCGACGAGGTTCCCCCACCTGGGGCGAACATCGTCAGTGGCATGTGGATTTTCAGGGTGAAGCGGCCGCCGGGTTCTCCGCCTGTCTTCAAGGCGCGTTACGTTGCACGAGGCTTCAGTCAGCGACAGGGGGTTGACTTCTTCCAGACCTTCTCCCCTACCCCGAAGATGACCATTCTTTGGGTTCTGCTGCACGTCGCCGCTCAGCGTGACTACGAGCTTCACTCTCTTGACTTCAGCACTGCTTTCCTACAGGGCAGCCTGCACGAGGAGATCTGGCTGCGCTGCCCACCTGGCTTCACTGGGTCGTTTCCTGCAGGTACCCAGAGGAGCCTCTGGCGGCCAGTCTACGTTCTCTGCCAGGCGCCTCGCGAGTGGCACGACACATTGAGGACGACGCTTGTGGCTCTTGGGTTTGCTCCTTCGACTGCTGACCCGTCGCTGTTTCTACGCACCGACACTTCGCTGCCGCTGTTCTACATCCTCGTGTACGTCGACGACTTGGTCTTTGCCAGTGCTGACACTGCTAGACTGGCCCACGTGAAGTCAAAGCTGCAGAAGAGACACACGTGCACAGACCTGGGTGAGCTGCGCAGCTATCTTGGCTTGCAGATCACCCGGGACAGAGCACGGCGCACCATTACCTTGACTCAGTCATACATGGTGCAGCAGGTCCTTCAGCGCTTCGGCTTTGAGTACTCCTCGCCACAGGCCACTCCTCTGCCTACCGGTCACTCGCTCTCAGCTCTGCCTTCGGATGAGTCCGTAGAGCCGAGTGGCCCGTATCCAAAGCTTGTGGGCTGCCTCATGTACCTGATGACCTGCACTCGACCTGACCTTGCTTACCCTCTTAGCATCCAGGCTCGCTACGTTGCGCCCGGGAGACACCGACCAGAGCAGTGGAAGGCCGCTAAGAGGGTGATGCGCTACTTGTGCAGTACGTCGGGCATGGGGCTCGTGCATGTAGGTCGGGCTCGAGTTGTTCTCACTGGTCACGCAGACGCTTCTTGGGTTGACGACTTGGCTACGCAACGGTCGTCACAGGGTTACACCTTCAGCCTTGGCTCCGGCTCTGTTTCGTGGCGGTCTACCCGCTCGTCTTCTGTTCTCAGCTCCAGTTGTGAGGCTGAGATCTACGCAGGGGCCATGGCTGCACAGGAGTTACGCTGGCTCACCTACCTGCTGACCGACTTGGGAGAGCCGCCTCGTTCTCCTCCAGTTCTGTACGTCGACAACAAGGCCATGATTGCATTGTGTCAGGAGCACAGACTGGAGCACAGAACGAAGCACATCGCTCTGCGTTCCTTGCTCGAGAGTTGCAGCAGCGTGGTCAGCTTCGTCTTGTTTACGTGGCCTCTTAGGCCAACACTGCTGATATCTTCACCAAGGCACTTCAGCCTTGTGATCATCAGCGTTTCTTTATTGTTCTAGGCCTTGTGCCTACTTGGCCTCACTTGCTCACTTGTTGACTTTGCTTGTACTATGATCTATATACATATACCTGCATGCTTACACTTGCTAGGTTGTGATCACTGTACTGCTTGTTCTCCTTTATATAACTTTGCATGTGAACTGGCCTTGTGGCCATTTGCTTGTGCTCAGAATGTGTGGTGACTTCGTGATCCACCCTGAGCTTGCTTTGCTTTTCTTGACCGGTCTTGTGACCTCTTGTTCTCCCCCACTTTGCCTATGGGGGTGTGTCAAACTTATATGCTGTTTATTCAGTAGGCTGTAGTGGGGTAGCCCATATGGGGTACAACCCAATTAGGGTTTCCTACTTGTACCCACCTTGTTGCTAGTTCAACTCATTCCTGTTCGTTATTCTGACAGAAGAGTGGTTTGCTGTTGAGGATGTAGCGGCTGGATGACACCATGCATTGTCCGCAACAGCTGTCCAGGTACCATCTAATGATATCCTTCTTCTCCCTTGCGATGCATGCAATTTGCGGAGTGAGATGATGCTCCTTGTCGTGGTCTTCTTCATAACCCCAGCCTTCGTCGTCGTGTGCAATGCGTGCAGGTGTCGACTCTTGGATCCACGGTAGTGGGTATTTGTACGGAATTGTACGGAATGCGTCCGACCATTTGCTCGTCGTATGTCGGGTCGTTCTCTTCTTCCTTGACTGATCCTTCCAGCTTCTCTTCAGGTGGGTTTGCGAACATGTCTTCCCACCTACAAAAGAAGCGGTACTCGCAATTGATTAGAGGTGGTCCGTGTTGCACCATGCAGATTAACACCTTGTTTTTCCCTTTGTCGTTCGCAAAGATTCGTTTTGGAGCTTGCGATGTGCTGGCGACGGCGCGCATGGACACGGTCTGGTTGCGCGTCGGTGGTCCGGTGATTTGTTGGTAAGACGCTCCGCCTTGTCGTTGTCCAAGGGCGCAAGGGCGCTTCGGGCAGGAACTAGCGGAACGATCAATGGGCCCTAAAAACCTAACAAGTTTCCTGCTCTGAATACCATGTCAAAATCAACTGTGCAGGAATGAATGAACTATGAATGAGCTGGGTACAACTACTAACTCTAAATTGTTGTACCCCTTGTAGACTAACACACTATAGCCTAGAGAGAACACAAACATACAGTTTGACGCGCATATGCACTACTATTCGGGGTGATACGGTAGTGCTGCTTGTGTTGCTTCGGTAGTGGTTGGTGCGATACTGCTGCACCTTCAGGAATGCTTGAGTAATTCTTTATTTACTACAACAGAACGGTTGGTCGTGTAGGAGATGTTGAGATGCGCGGCAAGGAATGCCAAAAATATTTCTTACAACTCCATAAAAGCAACTCCTATATAAGGGATGTGTGTAATTCTAGTTCACACATAACAATCACCCTCAGCACCTCGTTTCGCAACCGTAGAATCATTTCGCGAACCCAAATTACCTCGCTCCCTTTCTCCATCTGCACTCCTTATCCCCAAATTCCCTGCCCTTTTTCTGCTGAACACATTCGGCAACCAACGCAACGCAACTCGTCGAGTCCTGACTACCATTCCATTCAATCCGTCTGGTCAGTCATGGCCGCGCACGTTTCAACCATGCATTGTGATTCGTCTCGACTATTAGGCCGCAATAATGTTTCAAACAAGGCTCCCGCTACCCACCACCGCACAGCGCTCTCGCACGCGCGCATATCCGCAAGCGCTCTACCGTCATCCACGCCACTCGTCGCGTCTCGATCTCAACCCGTGTCACTCCAGGCCGTCGCGCAACGGTCGTGCGAGCCGCGAAGACTCGCTTCCGCGCGGCTCGTCGCGCGCGCGGATGCGTATTCCAGCGACGCGGCGCGCGCCACCCCCGGCGATGCCGCCGCCGAAGACACCACTCAACCGTCGGATCGGCGGCGAGCGCGGCTGGCGGTGTTCGTTTCGGGCGGCGGGTCGAACTTCAAAGCGATACACGCGGCTTGCGCCGACGGGCGCGTGAACGGCGACGTGGTGGTGGTCGTTAGCGATAAACCAGGTCAGCATATAACGCGTATGGCTCGTCTCATCGGGAGTTAATGCAGGAGCATTTCTGTGGAGCGGCACGCGATGTCTGTGTCTACATGGCTTGACTTTTGTGACTTTCTTGACGGTTTTGATAGTGCTGACTGCCGGAATTTCCTCAATGTGCTCTCTCTGTCTCCCTCCCTCCCTCCTTCTTTCCCCTCCCCAACTCCCTTCCCTGCTCTCTCCCTTTCTCTCTTTCCCCCCCCGCCCTCCCCCTCTTCTCCTCCTGTCCTCCCCTTTCGTCCCCACCATCACGTCGTGGCGGGGAGGTCGCTGTGTGCTTGCGCGCGTGGGGGCGAAGAGTGCGGGGGGTGGCAGTACGCGCGCGCCAGCGGCATCCCCACGCTCGCCTTCCCCGTCAACGCCAAGCTGCCGCCCAGCGAACAAATCGGCCTCACGCCTGACGAGCTGCTCGCCGCCATGCGGTCAGTCTCTGCGTTCCTACCGGCACGGGACTCTACTCGTGCTTGCCATTGCCACTCCCTGTTTCGCTTTCTCGCACTCGTGCCCGCACAGCCCCTCCCCCAGCTGCCTGATAAATCTGCTGCCACCACCCAGCTGCTCACCGCCACACCCATTCCCCTCCCCAACCCACTATCCCCCACTCACTTCACGGCCCAAGCAGCAGCACTACATGGTGCTGGGGGTCACCTGAAGCTGCTGCCCGCCTCGCTGGTGGAGGCGTTTCTCACTCTACCCCCACCCCTACCCACCCCTTTCAATCCCATCTGTTTACCCAGGCAGCACGGGGTGCACAACATATTGCTAGCAGGGTACCTGAAGCTGCTGCCCGCCTCTCCGCTTTTCTCCCCCAGCTCATCCCGTTCTCTTGCCTCCCTGGCCCGCACCCTTTCCACTCCTCCCACGTCCAGGCAGCACGGGCTGGGGGGGTATCTGAAGCTGCTGCCCGCCTCGCTGGTGGAGGCGTTTCTCACTCTACCCCTACCCCTACCCACCCCTCTCAATGCCATCTGTTTGCCCAGGCAGCACGGGGTGGACTTTGTAGTGCTGGCGGGGTATCTGAAGCTGCTGCCCGCCTCGCTGGTGGAGGCGTTCCCCCGAGCCATCCTCAACATCCACCCCGCGCTGCTGCCCGCGTTCGGGGGCAAGGGCTACTATGGCATGCGCGTGCATAAAGCCGTGATTGCCTCTGGCGCCAGGTGCGTGCATGGGGCTGCTGTGTTGTGGATGCTCTGGCGTGTGCTGTGGGTTAGTGCAGTGCAAGTCACATCGCCAGGCGGGTGGCAAGGGCTGCTATGGCATGCGCGTGGACAAAGCCGTCATTGCTTCTGGGGCTAGGTGCGCGCATGGGGCTGACGTGCTTGGGATGTTCTGGCGTGTGCTGTGGCGTGGGTTGGTGCAGTACAAATCACATCGCCAGGTGGGTGGCAAGGGCTTCTTGTAAACACTTCACCTCCTCTCCCCTTCCCCACCCCACCCCTTCCCCCCATTAAAGAGTATCAGGCCCAATGGTGCAATTTGTGGATGAGCGCTATGACCACGGCTCCATAGCAGCACAGGCAGTGGTGGCCACCTGTGCTGCCCTTACACTTCCCTCCCACCCCACACCACTTCCCCCCCTCCTCCTTAACAGGGTATCAGGCCCAACAGTGCACTTCGTGGACGAGCTCTATGACCACGGGCTTATAGCAGCGCAGGCGGCGGTGCCCGTGCTGCCCTCACTCTTCCCACGTCTTCCCTCTCACTCCCCTCCCCTTTTCCCCCCCTCCATCCCCCTGCCAGGGTGTCAGGCCCAACGGTGCACTTTGTGGACGAGCAGTACGACCACGGGCCCATAGCAGCGTTGGTGGTGGTGCCCGTGCTTCCCTCAGTTCCCCCGCCTCTTCCCTCTCACTCCCCTCCACCCTTGCCTCCCTCCCCCCTCCATAACAGGGTATCAGGCCCCACGGTGCACTTCGTGGACGAGCGGTACGACCACGGCCCCATAGCAGCACAGGCGGTCGTGCCCGTGCTGCCCTCCGATGACCCCCCCGCCCTGCAGGCGCGCGTGCTCGCCCAGGTGGGTGTCTGTGTGCGTGGGTGGGTGGTTGGGTGAGTGAGAGGGTCCTCACCCAGGTGGGTGTGTGGGTGGGTGTCTGTGTACTGCCTGTGCGTGGATGGAGCTCCCACCACCTGCACGCCCCACCCCCCAGCCCTGCAGGAGTGTGTGTGTGCGTGGGTGGGTGGGGGGCCTTCCCTACTGACCCTAAAGTGGCTGTTCTGCGTGTGCTGCGGGTTGTGTGAACATGACGGAGTAAATAACCAGAAATGAAAACTCATGGGGAGAACGCTTTTCCTGAGTGGCGTGAAGCAACAGGCAGCAGTGGGTTGTTGCACTGATAATGGCTCCAATCACTCCCTCAATGCTCGCACCTGCTTCCTCCCCCCTCTTATCATCTCTACCATGCTCTCTATCCGGCTCTCGTTTCCCCCCCAGATCGCTCACCTTCTTCCCCCCGCCACATTCTTTCTGGTGCCAATTCACACTCTTGCTGTTGACATAACCGCGCCCCTCCCTCCTGTACTTCACTGCTCTCTCGAAAGAGCCGGCTGCGTGTGCTGCTGGTGGGGAATGCTGTTTGCGCCACAGCAGGACGCATGAGGCCTTCCTTCCTCACCACTCGTTCCTTCTCACACTTCCCTCTAAAGGCGCCTCAAAAGTCACATCAGCACCAGCTGTATGTGTGTGTGCTGGCAGCACTGTGCAGCGTCAGGTTGTCATGAGACCCCTTTCCTCCCGTGTGTTCTTGCTCCCTCCCTCCACATGCGTGACTCCACACACTCCTCCTCACACGAATGGCCATCTCCTCTGCTCTCAGGAGAACCGGCATTATCCGTGCGTGGTGACGCTGGCAGCACTATGAGATTTCAGAATGCGCCCTTCTCAACCCTCATGTCTTTGATGCCACACCCCCAACCCCTCCCCCCTCATGTCTTTGATGCCACACCCCCAACCCCTTCCCCCCCATGTGCATGACCCCACCTATCTGCTCACAGGCTGCCCTGCCGTTCCTCCAACATGTCCTTGCCGCCACACTTCCTCCCCCCTTCTTGTGTCGCCAACCCCTCTGTGCTTGCAGGAGCACCAACTGTATGCACGTGTGGTGGCAGCGCTGTGCGGCATCAGGCTCGGCTCCCCTTCCTCCCACACATCCTCCCCCACGTGTATGACCCCCCCCCCCCCCCCCCCCCCCCCCCCTCCTCTCCCCCCCCTCTCTGTGTTATCAGGAGCACCAACTGTATGCACGTGTGGTGGCAGCGCTGTGTGACGGCCGTGTGGAGTGGCGGGAGGATGGCGTGCCGCTCATTCGCACCACAAAGGATGGCAACGAGTTCGAGTAGAGTGCGGTGCAGTGCGGTGCACGGAGACAAAGGATAATGGTGTGCTGCTTGTTTGCCGTGATGGATGGGTGGGTACAGTAGAGATGGGATGGGAGCACACTGGAAATGCTGAGCTGGTGTGCAGTGGAGGTTGGCAGGTAGGCTAGGCGGGCAGGCACACATGAACGATTGGGGAGCAGATAAGTGTATTGCCAAGTTGAACAAATATGGGTTGGCTTGCAGACAGTTGTGTCCCGAACGGGCACTGTAGGAATAAAATGGTTGTTGTTTATGGTATTCTTTAGCAAACGCAATTTACATTATTTGGAGTTTCAGCTTTAGTTGTGTGTAGTTTCTCATGCAACTCTACGCACGTCCCCATCGCAGTGCACTCCGCAGCACCGCATTCGCAAACTAATCTGAGCTGTCCCACTTGCACCTCGTCCGAAACTACTGGCCCTAGGTGAAGCCGCGAGCAGAATCGCAGTGGCGTGAGAATGAAGACTGTCGCCTGCTTCCTAGCCGCAACTCATTAACGCGTCTCACGCGCCTCCAGCGTTTTCCCGTCGTTGGCCGATCCGTGTCCTTTTGTTTGCTCCACTCGTCGCGAGGGTGAGACGCCAAGAGCGCGCGACGAAACCGCCTCTCCTCGCCACGAGTACTTACCTGCCGCCACCTCCTGTCGTTTGCCACTCACACGAATCGAAATACATTGCAACTAACACTGATCCCCTTACCTACTAGCTCGAAATCGCCTAGCGTTCGATCCGTTCGCCTCGCCTTCCTCTTTCTTCTTCGCGCTCTCGTTGCGGCCTCTCGTTTCGGCCTCTCGTATCTGCCTCTCGTTTCGCGCTCTCGTTTCGCGCTCTTTCGTCGTCCTCCTTACCGCCAGCACCAACCCCTCTCTTTCCTTCTCCCATTCAAGTCAGCCCCAGCGCGTTCCCCATGTTCGGCTTTTTCAAAAAAGGCAAGCCGCAGCAGCAGCAGCCGCAACCGCCGCCGGCCGGCCAGCCTGGGTACCCCCCTCCCCCCGCGGGGTACGCGCAGGGCGGCTACGCGCCACCTGCGCCGCCGCCCGCGGGCTATGGCGGAGCGCCGGGGGGGTATGGGCAGGCGGGGGGGTATGGCGGGGCAGCGGGGGGCGGCGGGGGGGGGAGGGCGCAGATGACTTTCCAGCAGAAGTACGGATTCATCCCGGACTCGTTCCAGACCATTCAGCAGGTACGGGGGAGTGCAGAGAGGAGGAGGGAAGAGTACGGGGGGGCGGGGGGTCGGGTGAGCACACCGCAGGTTGGGGGGAAGCGGGGGTTGAACATGGCGCAGGTGGGTAGGGATGGGTGGCGGGTGTCGCATGCGCCACGTGGTTGTGAGACGATGGATGTCCGTGCATACTCGCTTGTCTCATGCGTGGGGTGGGGGTGCACGGCACCTGCCTGCTTGCCTACTTGCTTGCTTGCTCGCTCGCGTGCCTGCACTTGTTCACTTGCTACCCGCATGCTCTGCTCACTGCCTTGTGCCTGCTTGCCTGCGTCACTGCCCGCCTGCTCGCCTGTGTGCTCATCTGCCTGCCTCCCTCCCTCATTCGCCTCTCTGCTCGCCCGCAGGTGCAGGATAAGCTGCGAGAGGTGGGACTCGAGTCCAGCAACCTCATCGTAGCCGTTGATTTCACCAAGAGCAACGAATGGACAGGTCAGATCTCTCTACTCACCACCTTGTCAGCATCTGTGCATCTCGTTTTGTGCCTTTCATTCTGCCTCTTCTCTCTTCCTCGCCCCACACTCTACGGTTCCGCACACTTCTTGCACTAACCAGTTCACCCTCTCCCTCTCACACCGCCTTTGCCGCAACCAACCGCCGTCCTTCCCGTCTCACCACCCGCACTGCACCATTCAACTGCCGTGCTACCGTCCGTCCACCATCCTCCCCATCCCACCTTCGCCTCCCCTTCGTCCCGCCATGTGCCGGCTTCTCTCCACACCCCACTGCCATCGTCCTTCCTCACCTCTTGTCTCACCACACCTTCCCAGTCCTGCTCTCAAGTCCCCTCGCCCTTCCCCGACCCTGCCCGTATGAACATGCACGCGTGCATTGCCCCACTATCAGGCAAGCACACCTTCGGTGGCCGGTGTCTGCACGCCATAGGGCGGCACATGAATCCGTACGAGCAGGCCATTCAGATCATCGGGGAGACCCTCGAGCCCCTCCCTTGCGTCCCACCCCTCTGCCCCCTTGTCTCGTGTTCCCCTGTTGCCGCCCCGCAACCCTCACTTCTTTTCCTTCCGTGTCCCTCCTGCCCCTCCCTGCAGGCAAGCACACATTCGGCGGCCGCTGCCTACACGCCATAGGCGCGCACATGAATCCGTACGAGCAGGCCATTCAGATCATCGGGGAGACGCTAGAGCCCTTCGACGAGGACAACCTCATCCCCGCCTTCGGCTTCGGCGATGGTCAGTTCAGTCGGCTCCTTCCTTCCCACTCCTCCTAGTTGTGCGTGTGCACTGCGTTCACACATGCATTGCAAGCACATGCATTTTCTTTCTTCGACACTCCCACCACTCATTCCGCTCCACTCCACCTCCCGCTCCCTCCCCTCAGCCACCACCCTTTTCCCCTCCCCACCCGTCCCCCTCATGCGCATTGAGCAGCCACAACGCATGACAAGGCTGTGTTTTCATTCAACCGTGACAACCGCTCTTGCAACGGCATTGCTGAGGCACTCTCGCGCTACCGTGCCATCGCCCCCCACGTGAAGCTCTCAGGTGCGCTAATGCTGCTGCTGCCCTCTCCCTTCTGTTTTCATTCAACCGTGACAACCGCTCTTGCAACGGCATTGCTGAGGCGCTCTCGCGCTACCGTGCCATCGCCCCCCACGTGAAGCTCTCAGGTGTGCTACTGCTGCTGCTGCCCTCTCCCTTCTGTTTTCATTCAACCGTGACAACCGCTCTTGCAACGGCATTGCTGAGGCGCTCTCGCGCTACCGTGCCATCGCCCCCCACGTGAAGCTCTCAGGTGCGCTAATGCTGCTGCTGCCGTCTCCCTTCTGTTTTCATTCAACCGTGACAACCGCTCTTGCAACGGCATTGCAGAGGCGCTCTCGCGCTACCGTGTCATCGCCCCTCACGTCAAGCTCTCAGGTGCGATGCTCCCCACGTCAAGCTTTCAGGTGCGCTGTTGAGAGCTTGACGTGAGGAGCAGCGCACCTGAGAGCTTGACGTGGGGAGCCGCTTCGGCAGTGAGTCATTTCAAAACGTTTCAGCCTTGCCATCTCTTTTCCTCTCTCTCCATGCTCGCCCTCCCTCTCCTCCTCTCCCCTTTCGCAGGTCCCACGTCCTTTGCACCGGCAATAGAGGCAGCGGTGCGCATAGTGGAGGAGAGTGGCGGCAACTACCACGTGCTGCTCATCATCGCTGACGGTCAGGTGCGGTGTGGTGCAGTGCGGTGATAGTAAGTGGGTAGTGAGAGCGGAGGCAACTACCACGTGCTGCTCATCATTGATGACGGTCAGGTGCGGTGTGGTGCAGTGCGGTGATAACAGGTGGGCAGTGAGAGTGGCGGTAACAACTACCACGTGCTGCTCATCATTGCTGACGGTCAGGTGCGGTGTGGTGCAGTGCGGTGATAGCAGGTGGGTAGTGAGAGTGGCGGTAGCAACTACCACGTGCTGCTCATCATTGCTGACGGTCAGGTGCAGTGTGGTGCAGTGCGGTGGTAGCAGGTGGGTAGTGAGAGTGGCGGTAGCAACTACCACGTGCTGCTCATCATTGCTGACGGTCAGGTGCGGTGTGGTGCAGTGCGGTGGGTAGTGAGAGTGGCGGTAGCAACTACCACGTGCTGCTCATCATTGCTGACGGTCAGGTGCGGTGTGGTGCAGTGCGGTGATAGCAGGTGGGTAGTGAGAGTGGCGGCAGCAACTACCACGTGCTGCTCATCATTGATGACGGTCAGGTGCGGTGTGGTGCAGTGCGGTGGTAGCAGGTGGGTAGTGAGAGTGGCGGCAGCAACTACCACGTGCTGCTCATCACTGCTGACGGTCAGGTGCGTGCCTGCTCTGCTCGCAAAGCCCCCCATGGTCTTTCGTGCCCCGCTTTGCCTTTTATGTCCCCCATGACCTCCTTTGATCCCGCATATCCTCCCGTGTCTGCTCTCTCATTGACCTTCATCCTTCACCTCCCTCCCCGCCTTCTGTCCCTTGGCACGAATGGCCTCCTGCCCCCAACCCCCCAACCCCCCCCCCCCCAGGTGACGCGCAGTGCGGACGTGCCGCCCGGGCAGCTGAGCAAGCAGGAACGCGCCACTGTGGACGCCATCGTTGCCGCCAGGTGAGGCGGTTGTGAGGGGTGCATTGCGGTGCATTGGGATGGAGGAGGCTGCACGGCAGGCCGTCAGGTGGGGCTGGAGGCCGACTGCTCCACTGCGCCACACCGCCATCTCATCTCATGTGCGCCGGCCCCCGGGCCTGCACTCAATGCGATGGACCCCCCCTCTCCTGCCTCTTCCTCTCCACTCGCCCCTTCGCACTTCACGAATCACAAATCAGTCTTTGCACCGTCAGGACTCTCTCATCCCCTTTCTACATACATCGTTGCCTGTCCCCCCCTCTCCCTCCATTGCCACCATCTCACTCTTTTTTCCCCGCTTCCACCCCCTCTCCCCGTCCCGTCCCCCTCCCCCCCCTCCCCTCCCCCCCTCCTCCTTCCCCTCCCCACTTGCTGCAGCAACTACGCGCTCTCCATAGTGCTCGTGGGCGTGGGGAACGGCCCATGGGATGTGATGCACGGCTTTGACGATCTGCTGCCCCATCTCACACCTTTGTCCCCTCTGCCTGCACCCTCCCTCTCCCCACTTACTGCAGCAACTACGCGCTCTCCATAGTGCTGGTGGGCGTGGGTGACGGCCCATGGGATGTGATGCACGGCTTTGACAACCTGCTGCCTGCCCGGGCCTTCGACAACTTCCAGGTACTCACCCTCTCCCCTCTCTTCCTTCCCTCTCTCCCGTGTCCCTTTTTCCACCTTCCCCCTCTCCCCTCCCCTATTTGCTCCTTCCCTTCCTCTTCTTCTTCCCCCGTGCTCCTCCCTTCGATCCTTTCTCGCCCGCCTCTCCCTCCGCGCACGCTGCAACGCCATCGCCACGCCCCCTGCCAGCAACTACGCACTCTCCATCATACTCGTGGGGGTGGGCGACGGCCCGTGGGACGTGATGCACAGCTTTGACGACGGGCTGCCGCAGCGCAACTTCGACAACTTCCAGGTGCCGCCCTTCTGCTTTCCTGTGCCACACATGCGCATCTCTTCGTGCATCTCCCCACACCTATCTCGCCCGTCTCGCTCATCCCACTCGTGGGATGTGATGCACAGCTTTGACGACGGGCTGCCCCAACGCAACTTCGACAACTTCTGGGTCGCTTTGGCTGTCCTGCTCCTTTGCGGAGCCACTCCTTGTTGCTTCTTTTTTCTTCTTCCTCTTCTTTTTTTTCTCTCTCGTAAAAGGAGAATTGGCATGGAAACCTGAGTGCAATGAGTTTGCAATCAGTTATAGCAGCCGATTTGGACTGATGAAAACATTTAAAGCCAGATTCTTTGTAGCCGCTTGTGTTTTACGGCTGTCCTGCTCCTTTTTCTGCCCACACCCTTGTTGTTTGTTGCCAAACTGCTTGTGAGTGATGTGCAACTCCCTCCATACGTGCCGCTTGTTACCTCTCGTGACATCATCAACCTCCCTCCTGCCCCCCTTCCTGCATTGCACCAAAGTCCCGCTGATCCTGGCTCCTTCATGAATGATAAAAACAACTTGAAGCTCGCACTAACACCGTTACCTTCTTCCCCCCCTCTCCACCTCCCCCCTTCAGTTCGTGGACTGCTCGCAGATCCTAGCAATGCCGGGCCCGCACAAGCAGAAGGCGGTGCGCCGCCCATTTGTCTTTCCCCCTTTCAACCCCCACTCCTTCCCTTTCCCTCCCTCCCCTTCCCCCTCCCTCACCCCCTCTCTCCCACTCCCCACCCCCTTTCAGTTTGTGGACTGCTCGCAGATCCTGGCAGCACCGGGGCCGCACGAGCAGAAGGCGGTGCGCTTTGCACTGAGTGCGCTCATGGAGGTGCCCTTGCAGTTTAAGGCGTGCAGCGAGATGGGCACGCTGGGGTGAGTGGGGCACTCTCGGTTGAGCGGAGAGTTTTTTTGGGTGAGGGTAGGGGGTAGTGGGTTAAGTGGAAAAGGTGTGGATGGGTGGTTTCTTGCTCCTCGAGTTCACATGGAGTGGCTGTCAATCGCCATCCATGGCCATCGCTCTCCCTCATCGCACGCATCTCTCCTCCTCGTTATCCCTCACCCTGCCCCCCATTCCCCCACGTGCTGTGCCCCCTTCCCCCAATGTGTTTCGTGCAGCAAGCGCATCGGTCGCATGCCACCCACCCCACCGCTGCCTCCCCCGCCACGAGTGCTCGAGATGGATGCTGCTGCTGCTGCAGGCATGGGCATGGGATACCAGCAACAGCAGCAGCAGCCACCACCGTATGGCCAGCAGCAACCACCCCCCTACTACCAGCAGCAGCAGCAGCAGCAGCAGCAGCAGCAGCCATACCCTGGTGTCCCCCCTTCCAGCTATCCCACTGCCCCCTCCGCACCCCCTGCTCCGGACCAGTTCTCTTCCCAAGATGCCGGTTACCCGCCTCCTCAAGGGGGGTATGGGCAGCAGAGTGGTTACCCCTCTCAGTAGGGTGGTTATACTTCTCAACAGGTTGGTTACCCCCCACAGCCAAATCAACAGGGTGGTTACCCTCCACAACAGGGCGGTTATTCTTCTCAACCTGGCGGTTACCCCACACAGCAGGGTAATAACCCTCCACAGCAGGGTGGTTACTCCTCCCAGCCCGGCAGTTACCCTCCACAGCACGCAGGTTCTCCAACACAGCAGGGTGGCTACCCGTCCCAGCCAGGAGGGTATCCCCCTCCTCCGCAGCAAGGGTACAAGCCGCCCTACTGACTGCCACTCAACGGCCACACACGTGCCCCATCCCATGGCTCTCTCCCATTCCTTCCTCCCATGCCTTGCATTAATTTCATAACTCCCATGCCTTTTGCCTGCCGTTTCGGGAGGGGGGGGGGCGTCTTGCATCGCATTCCTTGCATAGCTTCCATTGTTCTGGAGACATGTTTTGCTGTGTGCTGGAATGATTGCCATGCCAGCTGATTGGCTAGCAAAACATACTGGCTGTGATAGTGTCTTAAATAAATATAAAAATATCTTGTTGGGTAAGATTTCCAAGTACAGTAGTGGTTTGTGTAGACGTGGTACTGGCAATGGCAACTGTAGATTAATTTGCTGCATATGCAATCAGCAACTGCACACCCCATCCTGCAGCAGTCAAGCAGAGAAGGCAGCTTTCCCACACAGCAATCCACTGGTTATCACATGGAGCTAAAAACCCTCATGCCATGCCTTGCACGGTCTTTGGGTCGCCGCAAAACCCAGCTACGGTAGATCAAAATGAACTTTCATGCCATAACGGTCCAAGCTCGAGCACTAATCTACCTGCACCCACACGTGCATGCTGCTACAGGCGCCTCCATAGGGCACATACAGTAGCCTTTGAGACTCCAGGCGCTCAAAGTATCAGCCCCCTCTGACGGTGGTTATGCATGGCAGCTCGCAGCTTCACCACCACCCTCCACGTCCCCCACTCCCCCTCCACGTCCCCCACTCCCCCCTTGCGCAAATCCCCCCTTTACCCAGTCTATCACCTCCTCCCCTTCCCCTGTCATTTGCGCCCACAGCTGCCTGCTATAGCAGGCGCCCCAGCAACCTACGCCCCAAAGCCTCAAGCCATCAGCCCCCCTGGCAGTGCGTGTGGTGCATGGCTGCCAGCAGCTTTACCAGCGGCTCCTCCACATCTCCAACAGCCCCCTTCCCCCCCACCCCTCCCTCGCCCCGCTCTATCACCTCCTCCCCCTCTTCTGTCACCAGCACCACCTTGCTGCCACGTGTCAGCAGCTCATTGGCCACCACGGCGTGCACGTGGTTTTTCTGCAGGGCTGAGCGCGCCTTGCTGAGCAGAATGCTGCTGTCCGTCTCCAGCTGATAGGGAGTAGAGGAGGGCAGGGGGGGGAGGGGGGGAAGGGGGGTGAGGGGGGTAAGATGCTGTCCGCCTTGCTGAGCAGAATGCTGCTGTCCGTCTCCAGCTGGCGGGGGGAGGAGGGGGTGGCGTGGGGAGGTTGGGGGAGGGGGAGGTGGGGTTGTTAGGATGCTCCTGTCACTTTCCAGCGGGAGGGGGGGAGGAGGGGACAGGGGGGGTTGGGGGGATGTGTTGGGGGGGTGTGTTGGGGGGGGAGGGAGACGGGTGGTAAGATGCTGCTATCGGTCCCTAATTTGGGAGGGGGTGGGGTCAATGATTTGTGAAAATGCTGTCACATCTTCTTCTCCTCTCCCCTCTCCCCTCTCCCCTCTCCCCTCTCCCCTCTCCCCTGCCAACCAATGACAGCACTGAATCCAGCTGCTCCACCATTGCAGCGCTTACAGGGTTTCCTTTCGGGCAAGGGTGCAATCATCGTAAGCGGTGCATCTGGCATAATGAACAGGTTTGAATAGAGTGCGGCAAGAGAGAGGGAGGCGGGGCAGCGGAAGCAGAGGGGTGGAGAGGCGAGAGGGGTGGAGAGGCGAGAGGGGTGGAGAGGCGAGAGGGGTGGAGAGGCGAGAGGGGTGGAGAGGCGAGAGGGGTGGAGAGGCGAGAGGGGTGGAGAGGCGAGAGGGGTGGAGAGGCGAGAGGGGTGGAGAGGCGAGAGGGGTGGAGAGGCGAGAGGGGTGGAGAGGCGAGAGGGGTGGAGAGGCGAGAGGGTGGGAGGCGCACCTTGAAGGAGACGAGGAGGGCTTGAGGGCACCAGAGGGAGCGCAGGAGGGGAATCATCTTGGGCACGCGCGCCAGGTGGATGTCCAGGGGACCCGCTCCTGACTGAATCTTGTGCTCCACCTGGTGTGGGGAGGGGAGGGAGGGGAGGTTGAGGTGCAGTTGGTGCGAGCGGCATGTGGTGCCGTGGCGGGAATAACCAACGCCCAGCGGCCCCGCGCTCCACCTTCCAAAGCTGGGGGGAAAGAGGGTGGCCGGGAGTGGGTAGTGTGGTTGGTGGGGAGTGGGGAAGAAAGATGCGGGTTGAAGCGGGAAGAGCAATGCCCAGCTGGCCCACCTTCGACTCATTCTTGTGCTCCACCTTGGGGGGGATGGGGCGTGGAGGAGGAGGAGGGGGGAGGGAGAGGGGGGAGGGGCAGTTGGGTGCGAATGGAATGTGGTGCGGTGGTGGGAATAACCAGCATACAGCGGGCCCGTCCCCCATTGGATATTGTGCTCCGCTCCGCCTGCGAGAGGAGGGAAGGGGGAGGCTGGCGGCCGGGGAGTGGGGAAGGGATGCACGGGGAGCAGCTTGGATGACAAGGCCTGGCCTAGTCCTACTGGAACATTCGTGGCCACTGGGCTTGCCGTGCGAGTCCCACTGAGGCAGTGCAGAAAGGACACACGGGCCATGGAAGAAAATATGGGTGGTGTGAGGAGGTAATTGAATAAAGAAGGCATGTGATAGCGTGGGAGTTATGGAATGGTTGGCATAGCAAGGCATGCCATGGTATGGCATGACTAGCTGAGGGTTTCAGACTTGGGGTTTAGGGTCAGGGTGTACCATGGAGGGCCAGGGGACAAAAAAGTCGGACACTGCTGCTGCCAGGTAGACCATGCCACGTGGACCAATGGGGTTCAAGGCCTCGGCCACCAGGCGAAGCAACTGGGGAGGGGAGGAGCGAAGAGGAAGAGGAAAGGAAGGGAGGAAACGGAGGATAGGTGGGGAGGTCAAAGGCGAAGCAATGAGAACTGGGAGGAGGAGAGGACGGCAGACAGGGGGAGAATCTGGTGAGTGGCATAGCCGATTGATTGGTATTAAGGAGGTCGACATGAGCGGATGGATCTTACATGCAAATAGCCTGTAAGATCCATTGAAGATCCTCGTAGTCGAAATGGTTGAAGGTCATACGGCATCACGGAAATCGTGAATCAGAGTTGACAGACGTAACGCCTAGAAGTGCAATGTGGGGACTTCGTTGTCATAAGAGAGTTGTCTCCTAGCCCTAGGATCTTTTACACGCCACACTCAAATGAGCATCAGCTATAATCGCTGGCAATCCCTCGTGGGGATAGGTGATATCTCCCTTACTTATAAGCCTGTGGTATTGAAATCCCCAGGAGTGTCCGTGGGAAAGGACACTACTTCGTTCGGTGGAGGCTGTGGTGATGGGCACTACTATCGTAACGGAAGGGTCACCTGGAGGTACTGGAAGAGTGTGGTGAATGGCAGCAGCAGCAGCCGCCCTCCCTCCTGTGCCTGCATGGAGTTGAGCGGTGGTGCGCGGTTCACAGAGATGACGGGGTAAGAATGGGACGAGCAGAGTACCAGCTGGGTGAAGTGAGCAGGCCGAGGGGGTGGCAGGAGACGAGAAAACGACCGATGCAATGCAAGCGCGACACACCAGCACGGTTCGGCATTTTCTAGGCGCTTTCAAGTCGCTGCGCTTTCAAGTTCCTCAAAAGTAGTCTCTGCGGAACTTGACAGTCAAGACGGCTGAGGTCAACAACGCACAGGCCAGGCCACGAGGGAGATGAGATGCCATGCGCTTGCAAGCCATGTGCGCAAGGAATGCGTGCAAGCTGGTGCACACAAGGCAGGTGCGGTGCGGAGTGGGTGGCGGGCGCACCTGGTTGAACATGAGAACGGCTCGATGCACCGCATCCGTGTATGGCGGAATGGCTGGCACGCCCCGTCAAGGATGGGCGGGGATGAGAGCGGACGGGCAGCGCAAGACATGAGCGCGGGAATCACGGGCGGAGTGGGAGGCGAGGCAGCATACCTGGTTGAACATGAGAACGGCTCGATGCACCGCATCCGTGTATGGCGGAATGGCTGCCACACCCCGCGGTGGAAGGTGGACGGGAGGGGATGGGAGGGGTGTTGGGACGGGTGAGAAAGAGGGATTAAGGGGCGAAGGAATGAATGTGTGGCAGGGGAGGGGATGCGGATGGCGGGGATGGGACAGGGCCAAGGGGTGGTCAAGGGGTGGTCAAGGGGTGGTGGGAGAAAGAGTTGTGACGGGAGGAAGAAAGGTCAGAAGCATTCGAAAAATGGGGTTAATGGGGGAAAGAGTGAATGAATAGCACGGGAGGAGGAGATCTGCGGATGAAAGATAATAATCCCTGCAAGTGGTTTCAAACTGGCAGCAATGGCATAGCATGGCACCCCGCCGCCTGGCAGTCAGCAGAAAGCACCTTCCAGATACATTTGCGCAGAGCCGCTGCTGATGCTGCTGTGTGCGCCACTGCCACTCGCCTCCCCACTGCCGCCTGCAGCCCCGCTCACCCTCTCCTCCGCACAGGCAGCGCCTTGCCCCCCCTGCTTCTGGCGGTCTGAAGCAACACTTGCTTGCTCCGTGCAGGGCACGGCAGCAGAGGGCGAGGCTCGCAGGCACGTGAGGAGAGGCGACTCTGGCAGGCCGCGGCAGAAGGGACGCATGGAGCCCCTGGGGTACAGATGCGGAGGAGTCAGGAGTGGGGGGTGGAAGAGAGATGATAGAGAGAGAGATACACGAGGGGAGTAACGCTTGCATGTGGAGAATGGCTTCACTCTCCGACAATGCAGTATGCAGTGTGCAAGTGTTACGAAATGATTGAGTGAGTGCAGGCATGCAGTGCAGCGGAGCAAGCAGAGAAGCAGACGAGAGAGCATGGCGGCGACAGTGAACCTTTACATGTGATGTGCAAGCAGCAGGCACGCATACACACATTCACAGCACACACAGTGTGCGTGCTCGCGCGCGCACATGCACACAGACACACACACACACACACACACACACACACACACACACAGCACCCACCCACACAGACACAAACACAGAGCACAAGAATGATGAGCATACCGCCTGTGGAGGAAGATGACGGAGTAGCCCTGCGCGAGGAAGTGCCTGCATGCGCACTCAGGAACCAATGGAGAGAAGAGAAAAAAGAAAGATGTCAGTGTGGGAGGGGAGGTGGACTGGAAAAGGAGCAGGAAACTGCGTCAGAGCCAAGCACGGAGTGGATGGTGTGAGGAACGGAGCATAGCGAGATTCTGAGGAAGCATGAGGGGAGGGAGGGAGTGCGAGTGCAAGACTGGCGTGCAAGACTGGCGTGCAAGACTGGAGTGCAAGACTGGCGTGCAAGACTGGCGTGCAAGACTGGAGTGCAAGACTGGCGTGCAAGACTGGAGTGCAAGACTGGCGTGCAAGACCCCAACTCTCTCTCGCAGGAGGCGGCCATTTAGTTGCCGGCGTTGAAGTCGTCAGTATTCCAAGCAGGAAGCAAGCAGCACAGGAAAGGGAAGGAGCCAATGGGAAGGAGAGGACCAGTTTTAGAGCCCGAGGCCCTAGTTCGGACTCGCATGACACAGCCCCTTGGTTTCCTCAACCCAGTCACTCGCACGAGATGCCGGGCGGTGATAATATACGGCCTACAGAGTAGCTCCTTCTCACTTGCAGGAGGCGGCTCCTCAGTTGGCAGTGCTGAAGCTGTCAGCTCACCGAGCAGCATGCAGCAGAGGAAAGGCGGAGGAAGGAAGGGGGGTGGGGGGACGGGTGGGTACGAAGGCCCTACGCCCCAGGTCTCACTCGCAGGAGGCGGCCCCGCGGTTGCCGGCGCTGAAGTTGTCAATGAAGCGCACACAGCGCCGCTCCAAGGGGACGGTGGTGCCGCCTGACGTCACACATGTTACCAGCGGTGCACCCCCGGGCTGCTGTGACGCTTGCTGCAAAGAACAAAGGGGGGGAGGGGAGAGAGGGGCAATGGGGGGGGTGAAGTTGTCAATGAAGCGCACACAGCGCCGCTCCAGAGGCACACAGCGCCGCTCCAGAGGCACACAGCGGCGCTCCAGAGGCACTGTCGTGCCGCCCGATGTTACCAGGGGGGCACCACCGGGCTGCTGCGAGGCTCGCTGCAAAGGGGAAGAAAGGGGGATAAGAGAGCAAAAGGAACAAGGCATGGAATGTGGGTGTCTCTTACGGCCGGCACCTTCGTGGCGCCTGACGTCACACCCACCACCAGCGAGCGGCGCCCAGGCGGCTCAAGTGCTGGTGCCGCCTGGGCGCTGTAGAGGGGATGCGATTGGAGAAGGGGAGATGGAGGGAGACGCGGGAAGATGAAGGAAAGAGCAGAAATAAGGGGACAGGGAGAGTGGATGGTCCGAGCGGCACTGTGGTGGTGCTCGATGGCAGCAGGGACGGCAGCAGGGACGAGCGTGGGTGGACGCGGCTGAGAGGTGCGTGCAGAGGGGGGAGAAAGCGTGATGGTGGGGGGCAGGGAGGGATGCGTGCGGGGATGTGGGAGTGGTGAGTGCCTTGGTGGATGGGTGAGTGCTGCCCAGTCACATTGGGGGGCGCAGAGAAGAAAGCGAGGCACAGTAACGGAAGTGGGGGCATGGCAGGCGGCATGGGGATGGCAGGCAGCTCATGAGGTTCATGATGCTCATGATGACCACTTGACGTACAATGAAAGCCGACAGCTGTTCCTTGATGACGTCATCGTCTGCGAGAGGTGGTGACGTGGCGAAAAACTCCTCCCATGACACGTCAGACTCGTCCATCTGGCCGCTTAAGGAGGCGGTCTGCTTTCGAGCCGCCAAGAACACTATTGGTGACGTGGATGGGTGCGCGACGCGGGGAAAGAAGTACGTCGGAACTGCACCGGAGGAGGATAGAGCGGGCTACGTGCTGGCAGTGCGCGCGTGGCAGCGCGGTGGCGCGACGGAAGGGCGCGACACGCGGGACCGTTGAGAGCGGCGCGGGAGAGCAGTGAGTGACGCGAGGATAGCTAAGCACGCGGAGCGAGAGGAGATATCGATGCGCAGCATGTGCCTTCAGTGATATAAAAACCCTTTCATTGAATGCATCGACGCGCGTTGTCTCTGAATGTCTAGGTGTCCGTTTAGGCTTCGGGATGATAGCTTCGGTGTAGCTGAGCCAAGGATGGCGTTGCGCTCCTCTTTCACCGTGAGGGGCCTTCGGTGGGGGCTCCCGAGGGAGGGCGAAATTGGCGAGTTCTGGCCGAATTCGTGTGAATTGCAATCTGCCGGTTTGAATCTCGACTTCTGTTTCGCAAGGGGGAAATTACCAAGGCTAGTTGGCACAGTCGACTATCGCAGAACTCGAACCTACGTGGAACATTTCGTGCGCCCAAAACCTCGTTTTTACCTCCTCTGTCTCGTCACCGAGGTCGTGTTTGTCGCACGCCCATTGCTTGCTGCTCGTCGCGCGACAGTCGCCGATCGCCGATAACCGCTCTCCCCCACCGTCGTCCTCAGCATCTACCCCGCGCTCCCCGATTCATCCCACCTTCCCCACCACGTGCTCCTCTCACTCGATCGCACCAACCCCGTCGCATTTCCCGCTTTTAGCATGCAACGCTTGAGAGAAACGAAAAGGGTCACACGATGAGGATGGGAGCACGATAGAAACGGTACGAGGCGTGAATCGCGGAGGAAATAAACTGGTCGGAGAGGGGCAAGGGGCGTGCGACGGGTGGAGAGCAGCGGCCGATTGCGAGAGACGGGCAGACGGACGTTGGGAAGGGCGACGAGAGGGGGGAGAGGGCGGAGAGTGGGGCGAGGGGAGATGGGTGTGTGTGGGCGATTGTGAGGAAGGAGGCCGCATGTGATTGGATCAGCACATCCAATCCTGCTCACACGCTCGTTAGTATACTTTCTCGCGTTTCCGCTTCGGCCCGGAGCAGCAAGGGGGGATGGAGTACGCGGGGGTTGGGGCGGGAGGCATGGAGGAGGGCATGGAGGAGGGCATGGTGCAGCTGCAGCAGCGGCTGAGGTCAGCTGAGGCCAAGGCGGAAGAGGTGCTGCTGGTGAAGCAGGAGGTAAGCGAGGGAGATTCACTGCTTTTGGGTGGGAAGTTCACCTCTCCCTCTTGCTCCACTGCTGCCGGGGTTGCACATCACAGATGCTGTGCCTCTGCTGCCGTTCCCCTTGCTGGTAAGGAGGATCCACACCGCATCACACACCTTTGTACCGCACCATGTCGCATCGGGTTACTCCACAGAGTACCGTATTGCACCCCATCCCACCACACCACATCGCACACATTGCGTCGTAGTACCGTGTATGGCACCGCACATCACATCGCATCATATCGCACCAAATTGCACCCCATTGCACCACATCTCACCGCATCGCATCACATCCCATCTATCCTCAGTCCTCTCTCACGTCCAACCCCTCCCCTTCACCTCTCACATCCACCGCGCCGCCCCACTCTCCCCGCTTGCCGCCCATCCATTTACCACTCACACACGCCCCTCCCATCCCCATCTGGTGGATACGGACAGACAGGCAGCACACTGCCCTACTGGCATGCTGACCAACCCTCTCGCTCTCCCCCTCTTCCATTCACTCATCTCATCCCCTCATGTCTCCTGCCCCGTCCCATCCCCATCTGGCGCATCTGGGCAGGCAGGGCATGCGGAAGGGAACTCATTACATCACACCTCCACCTACCCCTCTCGTTCTCCGCTGCCCCGCATCCGTCCCCTCATGCTCGTTCTCCCTCCCCGTCCACCCTCTCCCACCGAGTAGATCTGGATCGGCACTGCAATGCGCGCAGCGCAGGCAGGCCGTCACAGCTCTGCACAGGCTGCCCCTCTCAAGCTTCACTCATCCCATCCCCTCTCTTCCTCCCCTCCTCTCCGCTCCCATCCCATCCCATTCCGTCCCAGGTAGTGCGTCTGGATCGCCGGTGCAAAGCGCAATGCAGGCAGGGAGGCAGTCACGCTCTGCGCAGCAACTTTCCCTCCACCCTCTGCCCTTCGCTTATCGTATCCGCTCTCTCCTTCCCTTCCTCTCAGCTGGTGGATCTGGATCGCCAGCGCAATGCGGGCAGGGAGGCTGTTACAGCGCTGTGCTGGCCCTCTTGTCCCCCCCTGCCCCCCACTTACCCCCTTATTCTCATTTCCATCCCCTCCCATCCCTCCCCCCCAGCTAGTGGATCTGGACCGGCAGCGCAATGCGGGCAGGGAGGCCATCACGGCGCTCAAGAAGCATGCCAGGGGGGCGGCTGCCAGGAGAGCAGGGGGGCGCAGGGAGGGGGGCTCTGGAGGAGGTGCTGCTGGGGAAGGTGTATCTGTAGAGGCGCACAGGCCACTTGTAACCCCCATGCCTGCGGTGCCAGGTGGCACGTCAGGATTGGTTGGAAGTTCAGAATGTGCGGTGTGTGGTGCGGTGGGGCAGAAGGAGCGAGTGTGGGTGGCGATGGGTGGAGGGGAGATGTTTGTTCGCTTGCCGCTGCACCATGCGCATGTGCATGTGAAGCGAGGTGAGTGAGGTGACTATAACGAGGGGTGAAGGAAATCTTGTGCGCCTGCCCCTGCACCATGCACATGTGCATGCATCTGAGGCCATTCACATCTGAGATATGGTCTACCTTACAAAAGAGATGCTTTCTTTTGTGTGAGCTGTGACGTCAAGTACCATGGTCCTGTTGCTTAGCCTGTGAAACACCAACAGACTACATCACATCAAACTAGCCCTTCCCAAGCTCCCTGCCAAGCCTGACCCCAACCCGCCTTTTCAGTCTTTGTCAGATCGAGCCTGTTTGCTCGTCTATACTCCTCCTGCCCATTCAGCTATTCACCGCATTGACACCCTCTGCGCTCTTCATGTCTCCCACTGCTCCGTCCTTCCAGCCGTTGACCGCATTGACCCTCATTGCCCTCTATCCCCCATCAGGCATTGACCGCATTGACCCTCATTGCCCTCTATCCCCCAGCAGGCATTGACCGCATGGACCCTCATTGCCCTCTATCCCCCAGCAGGCATTGACCGCATGGACCCTCATTGCCCTCTATCCCCCAGCAGGCATTGACCGCATGGGCGAGCAGATGGAGGAGGGGAGGGAGAAGCAGAAGGTGGCAGTGAGGCAGCTCACGGAGGAGGGTGGGCTGGCAGGCCGTGTTGGGGAGGGCATAGTGCATGCACTCACAACGTTGAAGGATGCAAGTAAATAGGGCTTGGAGACTGCTGGTACTGTGTGTATTAGTGGAAGTGCATGCGTTTCAGTAGTCTAGTCTCTCCTTGATGTGCTGTACAGACCAATCCCCAAGGACATTCTGTGAGTAACCAACCTTCAAGCGTGTTGAACTGAGAAAGTCCTTAGGATCTTTTAGAGTTTAGCCTCTATAAAGTATTGCAGCGGAAGACTTGAATTCCTGTGCTGGTATATTGTGAGAATTGAATAATAAAGAAGAGATACAAGAGATTTATAGTCTATGAAAGTCCCTATTCAGAGATGTACCTGTTCATGAAACGGGCTAGATATCGAATCGACTCTACGAAGGGCTATAATCTTGTGTCATGCGAACAGTCACGAGACTGTTCGCACTACTACCTGTAACTCACGCGAAGGGACACCTACTACAGTAACATGCATCTGTGTCGTAAGTAGTGTTTCCACTCAGATGTCCTAACCGTTTGTGCCAAATTTCTTCTGAAGTTGCATGTCCTGCAGATCGATGATACAAGTCGGAGTTGGCGTAGAAGGCGGCGAAGTTGGCCGGACTCGTATGGGATCGTTAACCATACCGCAACGAGAAGCCGATCTGTCAATGACAAGCGGTCCTGTTGAGTGCGATGAAGTCGAAGGTAATGATGGCTGCTGTATCTGTTCTGCTTCCCCATGCTGTTCTGCTTCGCCGCTGATGCTCATTGACTCTGCTGCTGATTTGTTAAGAATAGAACTAGGAATGAATAAGTGAACTAGGCAGGAGATGAGTACAAGTAGGGGAAACCTAATCTCAGAATAGGAATGCAACGGAAATGCTTGGGATTAGGGTTTGCAAGCATACAAATAGGAGTCCTACAAATGTTGTACCCTCTAGGGAGTGCCTCACTGCAGCCTATCATAACATTAACATTTGACACACCCCCATAGGCTAAGTGAGGGACACCAGGGCAAGCAAGGTGAAACAAACGGTCACAAGACCAGTCAAGGCAAGACAAGCTCAGGGTGGATCTCAAGGACACCACACAAATTCCGAGCGCAAGCAAGCGGCCACAAGGCCAATTCAAGAGTTCACTAGGATATAAATACAAAGCACAACAAGCAGAGGAAGCAACAGGACTACAGCAACCTAGGGCCTACCTCAACAAGCCCCAACTGCACACAGAACCTGTGGTGGTCACCAAGCGCCAAGGCCTTGGTGAAGACGTCTGCAGTGTTGGCCTCTGAGGCCACAAAGTCCAGGCGTGCCTGGCCGCGTCGCTGCAGCTCTCGCAGGAGGAAGTACCTCACGTCAATATGCTTCACTCTGCTCTCCAGTCGAGGCTCTCGACACAGGAGGAACATGGCCTTGTTGTCAGCGTACAAGGTCGGTGCAGAGCGAGGCCCGCACCAAGGTCGGCGAGCAAGAAGGTCAACCAGCGAATCTCCTGTGCCGCCATGGCACCAGCGTAGATCTCTGCCTCTGCACTGGAAGTAGCCACAGACGATGACCGTGTAGACCTCCACGACACAGCACCAGCTCCCAGACTGAAGCAGTAACCCTGAGTCGAGCGCTGAGTCTCCACGTCGTCAGCGTAGGAAGAGTCGCAGTGACCAGTCAACGCCACTGGCTGAGTCCCTCCAAGCACAAGCCCCATGCCTGATGTAGTCGCCAGGTACTTCGCCACCCTCACAGCAGCTGTCCAGTGGACAGGACGGTGTCTCCCAGTCGCAACAAAGCGAGAAAGGACGCTGAGGGGAAAGGCGAGGTCCGGCCGAGTACAAGTCATCAGGTACATGAGGCAGCCCACCAGCTCTGCGTAGGGTCCAATGGACTCAAAGGGCTCGTCAGGAAAGGGGCCCGTGAGTCTGTGGTCAACAGCAAGAGGAGTGGGCTGAGTGGTGGAGAACTGGAAGTCGAACCGCCGAAGGACCTGCTGCACCATGTGTGACTGCGTCAGTGTGATGGTGCGAGCGGCTCTGTCCCGGGTGATCTGCAAGCCAAGGTAACACTGCAGTTCACCCAGGTCAGTGCACTTGTGTCTCTTCTGCAGTTCGGACTTCACCTGAGCCAGGGCTGCCCTGTCTGCTGTAGCAAACACCAAGTCGTCGACGTAGACAAGGATAAAGAAAGGAGTAGGACCCGCTCGAACAAACAGCGACGGGTCGGCGGAGGACGGGCTGAACCCAAGGTCACGAAGCGTGGAGCGAAGAGTGTCGTGCCACTCACGGGGCGACTGGCGGAGACCGTAGACTGGCCGTCTCAGGCTCCACTGGGTCCCAGGTGGGAAGGTGCCAGTGAAGCCAGGAGGGCGGCGCAGCCAGATCTCCTCGTGTAGTCGGCCCTGGAGAAACGCAGTAGAGAAGTCAAGGGAGTGCAGCTCGTAGTCTCGCTGCGCTGCTATGTGGAGTAACACCCGAAGAGTAGTCATCTTCGGGGTCGGGGCGAAGGTCTGGAAGAAGTCAACTCCCTCACGCTGACTGAAGCCCCTAGCCACGTAGCGCGCCTTGAACACCGGCGGTGCTCCAGGCGGTCGCTTCACCTTGAAGAGCCACATGCCATCGACTACGTTCGCCCTGGGAGGGGGAACTGCGTAGACGTAGGTGCCTGTGGATCTCCAAGACGCCAACTCTGAGTCCATAGCCGCTTTCCACTGAGAGGCCCACGCCCCTGACACTGCCTCGCGGTAAGTGCGGGGAGTCGGTATGTCAAGGGCGTCGGGGTCTCCCTCAGGGGAGAGCAGCATGGCACACACAGAGGAAGAAGCGGCTGCCCAGTACTCCAGCTCAGACTCTCTGTCCTCTAGGACGTCACAGCCAAGGGAAAACTCACCCCCGACGGACAGAGGACGGTAGGGAGGAGCTGGCACCACACGGGTGGCGTAGTCAAGGCGGTTGGCGGCAGCAAACTCAGCGACAGCGGCAGTAAGAGCAGAGACCGACGACGGAGGGAAACGAGAGTCGGTGACAAGAGTGGCGAGGACACGTGCGGCAATAGGACGAACAGTGCGGTAGTAGTCAGTGATAGGAGTGGGGAGGGCTGGGAGAGAGGACGGAGGAGGAGACAGGAGAACGGACACAGGAGAAGGAGAACGACGACGAGACGTACAAAGGAGGGCAGTGTGGAGGTCAGTAACAGGGGACGAGTGACGAGCACGCGGAGGACAACGAGTGATCAAGTCGTGACGAACCGAAGGAGGAGGAGACTGAGGAGGAGGAGAAGACCAGACCGCCGGACGGTCGTCAGGAGGAGGCAACGGAGGAACAAACACAGGAGGAGACTGGGAGCGGACAGGAGGAGAGGAGGAAAAGCCAAGGGCCCGCAGGCCACTCACAGGTGGGAACAACTGCCGCTCCAGGGGAAACTGCGGTGGCGGCTGCGGCTGCGGCTGCTGCAGCTGCGACTGCGGCGGCGGCTGCGGCTGCTGCTCCAGAAGGTCCAGCACCCGCAGCTCCTGCCGCTCCCGCTCCAACCGCTCCTGCTCCTCACGCTCACGCCGACGGGCAGCCTGGAGACGCGTGTCGTGGCGGTGGGGAGGCGGAGTGGACTCCGCAGAATCAGGGTCTCCAGCTCCAGTCTCCTCAAACTCAGCACCCCCAGAACCAACACCTCCAGTGTCAGGACCCCCAACTCCAGCACCCCCAGAACTAGCACCTCCAGTGCTAGCACCTTCAACTCCAGCACCCCCAGAACTAGCACCACCTGCGCCAGCACCTCCAGCTCCAGCACCCCCAGAGCTAGCACCACCTGCGCCAGCACCTCCCCTACATTCGACACCCAACCCTAAAGTGTTGTACTCACTAAGGAGTGACCCTACTGTAGCCTAGAGATACAATTGTAATTTGACACACCCCCATAGGCAAAGTAGGGGATAGCAAACACAACAAGCGGTCACAAGACCAGTCTGCAGAAGAGAACACAGCTCAGGGTGGATAACAAAGTCACCACGCATTCTGAGCACAAGCAAATGGCCACAAGGCCAGTTCACATGCAGAGGTATATAATAGCAAGGCAGTACACTGATCACAACCTAGCAAGAGAAAACATGCAGGTATAAGATATATAGCAGTGTACAACAAGAGCAAGTCAAGCAACCAGCAGGTGAGGCAGAGTGGGCACAAGCCCAAGAGCAGTGCAGAAACGGTGATGATCACCAGACCCAAGGGCCTTGGAGAAGACATCAGCAGTGTTGGCCCGAGAGGCCACGCAAGCAAGGGCGCACCTGACCACGCTGCTGCAGCTCACGCGCAAGGAAGTAGCGAAGAGCAATGTGCTTCGTTCTGTGCTCCAGTCTCTGCTCGCGACACAAGGCAAGCATTGCCTTGTTGTCGACGTACAGAACTGGAGGAGAACGAGGCCGCTCCCCCAAGTCGGTCAGCAGGTAGGTCAGCCAGCGTAGCTCCTGTGCAGCCATGGCCCCAGCGTAGATCTCGGCCTCACAGCTGGAACCAAGCACAGAAGAAGAACGAGTGGACCTCCACGAGACAGAACCAGAGCCAAGACTGAAGGTGTAACCCTGTGACGAACGCTGAGTCGTCTGGTCGTCGGCCCAAGAAGTGTCAGAGTGTCCTGTGAGGACCACCGAACCCCGTCCTCCAAGCACGAGCCCCATGCCCGATGTGCTGCACAAGTAACGCAGTACCCTCTTTGCAGCATCAAAGTGCACCTTTCGGTGTCTACCGGGTGCCACGTAGCGAGCCAGGAGGCTGAGAGGGTACGCGAGGTCAGGTCGTGTGCACGTCATCAGGTACATGAGGCAACCCACAAGCTCTGGGTACGGACCACTCGGCTCTACGTACTCGTCCGAAGGTGGAGCTGAGAGCGAGTGGCCGGTAGACAGAGGAGTGGGCTGTGGCGAGGACCACGTGAAGCGGAAGCGCTGAAGGACCTGCTGCACCATGTGTGACTGAGTCAGGGTGATGGTGCGCCGTGCTCTGTCCCGGGTGATCTGCAAGCCAAGATAGCTCCGCAGCTCACCCAGGTCAGTGCAGGTGTGTATCTCCTGCAGCTCCGCCTTCACTAGGGCC